ATAAAAAAACAACAACAAAACAAACTCATTTTCAAACTCTTCAATAACATCGATACTGCTTTGAATTGCACAAAACGGCAGAGAAACGTGCCAAATTTACAATACAATACAATACTCTTTATTTAACGAAGGTGACGTAATAACCCAATGAGTTATCTAACTTGCGGCCTTCAACAAGTGAAGAAGTACCATTTTCTCCTGTAAGCCGCCTGTTCTAAGACGCTCTGGTTGTATGCTTTTCTTAAACTCTCTATTTACAATTTCCTTGGAAACGCTAGTAGAGTTTTCCACTAAAACTGTAAATATAGGATATAGGTGTAGGCTCTGAAAATGGAGGTGTTGGCCTCTTCTAATTGAAAGACTTACTTCAAAGCCAATTATAAGCCACAGTCTACTTGGCCCAGCTAAATGCTCCGTAATAATGACAACTTGATCTGTTGCATTTGAAGTGCTGTTAAACACCAACTCAGTTCTGTTGCTTGTTGTTGGATCACCTTCCCATGAGCGACCGTAAGATGATGTAAAAGCCACCAAGAATGAGTTGGTAACCACGCCTGCAACGTTCAGGAACTCCAAAATGCTGTACCACATGCCTGACACAAAAAAGGGACGGAATAAATTACGGTGATCATTGGCTCAGAACAGATGAACAAAAGAGTTACCGGGATTCTGCAGGGTGTTTCTTTGTTGGTTTGCATTTGCATTGTGGTATGGGAATTGCACAGTGTCTTTTCAAACCTTTGTATTACGTTATTTACTGATCGCACCCGACCGCAACACCGAGAACCTACCGAGGTTCTAGAGACAAGTAGGAATTTTCACAAATCAACAGGGCTAACAATAATGTGCAACGAAAAAGCTCTCTATATTCGCCAGCTGTACATGCCAAAGATTCCAAGAACAACTACAAAACAGAAGGCACTCTGTCACAGAGGACGTATGCGCGCAACCGAGAAGCGTTGGGTAGACTTTGGGAGAATTGTTAACTCTGCTTCAACCACGTTATATCTCAGTTGTCATTACACACCTTATTTTCACGTTTACGGCCTCCTTGCGTTATAATTATTATGATGATTATTATGGTTTGTAGTATCAGCAATGTAGAGGAGATCTTGCCTTTCGACGTAGAAAAGGTGGTTATGCTGGGGGAAACCCTCAACTATCGCATCACTCATACCGAATGGAAAAAACATTTATACTGTTGGTGCATAGAGGTAGCCGAGCCGATTTACTGACCTATATCTTCAGCTCTGAATGCAACGGGTCGTCTGTCTATCCACAACAATCTACTGGCATCTATCTTCATATCAATAGCATTTGTCAGCAGTGCGATCAGTGGGGCCAGCGGAAATGCTGCGGCAAATAACTGAAACAAAATGAAGCACGTTAAATGAAAATAAATAAGTAAATAAAAACAAGAAACAAAACAAAACACACAGAAGTAGAAATGCAACAAAAAGTGAGAATGTGTAATCTCTCTCATTCGGGGAGGTGGGTTTCAAACACAAGGCGCAGCCAAGATTTTTTGCACTCACTTTGATTCATTTAGACTGGGGGCATCACAAGTCAGCTGCTCGCCCAACTCTACTGTCCCAATAGTTTGTGTGGCAGGTAGAAAAATGGAAGAAAAGGGAATGGGATACCCTCTCTCCTTTTCCCTTGCCCCAACCTCGCCCACCACTACCCCTTTCGAAGGCTGCCACGTACCACATAGGTTACTGATCCGAGGGGGAAAAAACTGCTCATAGTCTATGATATCTCCGTTTTTTTTCCTCTGTTTACAAATAATTGGTGAGTTTGACAAAAACCGGATAGCAACATGCAACGGGTCATTTTTAGCACCTGGTGATTAATTCCTTTTTTGTGAAGAGATGAATATCTTAGGTTGTTTTATAAGGTTGGTGGTTGCTGTTAAAATAATTTCACCTACCATTAGAAATCCATACTGAAGGACTGCAAATAAAAAAGAGAAGATCTTGTCAATACTAGATTTTTTAGTTGACTTTACTAACCACACAATCACCATGACAACCGTGCATGAATAACATTTATCAGATGACAATGTATGGTTACTGAAGGTTGTTTTACTTAAACCTAATAAAGAACATAATCATAACTATAACAAAATTGTCAAGTCTGATTGGCTATCAACTGCCCTGATTTCAGCCTTAATTGGACAGTTTAATAGGACAGTACGCGTCATGCCTAAGTAATTGGACAGTACGTGCCATCACGCGCGCGCTTAAATGGCTTTTTTTTAACTGCTAGCAAAACAAAATTTCGAATTTCTTGTGTTTTGATTTAAAAAATAGCCTATTATATCACAGATTTTGTTAAAGTTATGATTAATTGGTAACAGAACTTCGTGTCGTCCAATTCGGTCTGTAATCATACTCGTGATTAAACAAATCGGACTCCCGCTACGCGGTCGTCCGATTTTGTTAATAGGGAGCTTTAGCATCGACGACGGCAACTGCAGCGAAAACGTCAGTTTTAAAATGAATTCCCGTTTTTTCAATCTTTGTCGCGTTTATTCCAATTTGTTGAAAATGGCAAGTGTAGGCGAATTTCCCTGGAGTTGATTTCTTGAGGACCGCACTCAAGTTTAGAGAGAGAAAAAGAGATTCGTCGTCGCTTGTTTACGTCCTCCATAAAACCTGCAATTAGGCATTTTCACGTCGTAGTCGTGCAAGGACGGTAAAGAAATGAACAAAAAAGCGTGATGCACGTGCAGAGTTGTTGTTTTGCTCAACAAACCTATTGCTGTTTTGACGTCCTCTTTGCCGTCGCCGTCGTCGTTGCTAAAGCTCCCTAATCACTCGTATGATTACAAACTGAATTGGACTCCACTCAGTCCTGTTACCATTGCTAAGTACCACGTTCCTTGAGAAAGAAGTTAGCCTACCTATGCTAATGGCAGAATCCTTGTTTACATTTTTTGCTCCATTAGCATAAGCTTATCATTATCTGATGAAGTTAATAAAATGAAATTTCTGATATTGAAAGAGCATAACAATTTCAGTTATCTCGGAAAATTTGAGCCCGATATACCAAATAGTTTCGGAGAAACTCTGTTTGAAAAACCCCCAAATTTACAAAGAATGTATGAGCTCATTAGCGTTTTGCCACCCAGTAATTTTGCAGTTTTTAATTGCTGCTATTTTCTTTGTTACTGATTGCAAAGAGCTGAGACTTGCACAAACTCCATAAATTAACCAGCTCTTTTAATTTTGAATCTAATTGGTATACAAGGCTACAACTTCTATGGGTTATGAGCAAAAATGTAAACAATGATGTCACAATGAATCCGCCTATATCCTTTACCTTTTTCATTGTACTCGGACAGTCTAAAATCCCCAAGCGGTTCCTTGAGTCTTTCGTTTTCCAAGTAATCTTCTACGCTGGACCTCATTTCACCGCTTGCTCCTACTTTCTTGCGACAAGATTTCCTCTTCCACAGACCCTTTAACCAGCTAAATCAACAAGAAAAGCAGAAAAAAACGTTTGCTGCGTTGTACTTAAACAAAACCGGCTATATCATTAATCATCGCTACCGTCGGTAAAGGGAATTAGAGCATAACCACTCTTCATGGAGCACTAGAGGCGGCAACTAATCGAACTATTTACACCAGTAATAAGTCTTATGATCGTTTTTGCTGATCTATACGTCTCAGTCAGATAATCAATCAACGATCAACTCAAATACGACACGGTCTACGACACAGAGACCGAAAATCGACCACAGGCCATAATGCTGGGAAGCAAGCGCCCTGTGCTCTGAATAACAGAGTAATGCGCCTATTGAAAGGGTGCAAGTAACAAAGTTAAGGAACGTCATAACAACTCCTTTTTCAGATAGGAACATTGCTCGAACTGCACGTACTATGCAAGATATAAAAGAGAATTTCAGCTTGTGACCATACTCACGGTTTTATAATGTCAGAGAACAGTTTTGGAAGAGGCTTCATGATCATTAACATGGCGACTTGAAGAGACAGTAGAGTCATACAGTCGTTATTTGAGCCGCATTCGTCGCTGTAGTTTTGCCCTTTACCTAAAACACCCGTCTCCTTTGTGTTCTGATGAGACAAAGAAATGAAAGTATAAGCTGAGTACACGGTTAACACAAGCCAAGGGCCGCGGAGAAAAGGAGGCTGCTTACTAGACTTTCTAATTATGGCTGGTTTGATAGCTTGTTTTCGTCTGCTTCCTATTCAGAGGAAGCAGTTAAAAGATGTTTAGCAAAATACTAACATCTGTTAATTAGGGAGAGTTCGTAATCGGTAAATAAAGTGTCCAAATTTAAGGCGGTTAAAACAAACTAAGGATCAGGATGCGTTAGAATTAATCGGATTGGCCGTAAGCATGGAATATTAGAAAGGTGGAAACAATAGTAAACAAACAAATTGCTCATAATAAACTATCAAGCCACTTCCCTGAAAATTAAATATATCCGACTGCATTGTTCGAAGCATGCTTGGAAGGTAGTATGCAAGCCACCTGACCAAACAGCTTGAAGAAACCCTTCCCCTTTGGCATTTCACCCAAATTCAGTCAACCGAGTGATTACTAATGTAGCTTGCGTGGAAAAGTTCGAAAGGGAAGGGGAAGGGGAAGGGGATTGAGGGCGCGAGAGCCCGCGCGAGGGAGAAGGGAGGAGGGTTCCTTTCATTTCTCCCTCGCGCGCTCTCGCGCGCCCAAATTCCCTTCTTCCCTTTCCGTTTTAACGCCTGCCACGCAGGCTATTCCTAATGATTCTGAATAAACACGCAATGACCGAACTGTACTCCTACCTGACGAAAGAAAGCAATGTAAAAGAGGGAAGTGTATGAATTGACAAACTGAAATCCAAACAACTTTATGATAAGCGCATCATCATAAGAAGTCTGTGTTCGATGATTTTCTGTTAAGAAAAGAGAAGAAAGTCACGGTCGTACTATTATTAATTCTAGTCCTGTATTTCTTCTCAGTTCCGTATTGCGATAAGTCAGTTGTCTTAT